AATGGCCTGGGTAAAGTTAGGCGCGTTGTCGTTTACATCCAAGAGCCGCACGAGCAGCGTCTTGGATGCCGAGAGCGCGGGGGACCCCCCGTCGCGAGCCCGCACCGTGATGTTGTACTCTGCCACCTCCTCCCGATCCAGCGCCTCCGACGTCACCAGCGCGTACGCGTCGGTCTCCAGCGGACTGATGCTGAAGGGCTGCTCACCCGTCAGCTCGCAGCTCGTCCTGCCATTTTCCCCTGAGTCCCGGTCTTTCACATTGAAGAGGGCCACCACAGTCTTCGGCGGGGGGGCTTCGGAGAGGGTTCTGGTGAGGGAGGTGATGATCACCTCGGGGGCATTGTCGTTCACGTCCCCCACCTGCACCTCCACCTTACAGTGAGTTGAGAGGCCCCCTCCATCCATGGCCTGGACGTCTATCTCATAGGTCCTTCTTTCTTCATAATCCACTGTCTTTTTGAGTTTAATCTGCCCTGTTTCGGGATCGATTTTAAACGTCTGGAGGTTTTCGTCTGAATTTTGAACTATGGAATAGGTTATTTCCCCGTTCGTTCCTGAGTCTAAATCTGTAGCAGACACCGCCACCACTAACGTATCCCTGGGGCTATTTTCTAAGACTCGGACTTTGTACAGACTACGGGTAAATACCGGGATGTTGTCATTCGTATCCAGGACTACCACACGGATTAAGGCTGTGCCAGAGCGCGGTGGAGACCCCCCATCCACAGCCATGACACTGAAAGTCACTTCTGCCTGCTGCTCGCGGTCTAGGGCTCGGTCCAACACCAGCTCTGCGTACTTCGTGCCATCACTCCGCCTCCGTGTGTAGATACGGAAGTAGTCATTCGAGCTGATACTGTAATACTGGAGACTATTGTTCCCCACATCCGGATCTTGAGCGCTTTCCAGCAAAAAACGAGCCTCCGGCATTGCAGTTTCCGGGATCTTTAAAACTATCTCTTTATTTAAGAACACGGGAGCATGATCGTTTATGTCAGTGAGGCTTACCTCAGCTCGGACGGACTGCAGCGGGCTCTCCAGCAGCACTTCGAAACGCACCAGGCAGGGCTCGCTCTGTCCGCACAGTTCCTCCCGGTCCATCTGCTCTCTCACCAGCAAATCCCCCGTGTGTTCGTTCAGCTGTAAATACTGCTTTTCTCCTTCAGGAACGAGACGAGCTTGTCGAGCCGATAATTCCTCACCAGTTAGTCCCAACTCCTTAGCAATATTCGTCACAAAGAAACCTCTCTCCACCTCTTCGGGCACAGAATACCGAGCAGTTTCTGCTCTCATCCCCGACACACAGAGGAGCAGGATCATGGCCACCCCACGCCCTGGGAACTGTTCCTCCATTCCTTCCCAGCGAGCCGATCTCTTCTCCTTGTGAGGTGGATGGAGCTGCCGATCCAGACTGCCGACTCCCAAGCCGAGCAACCCGGAATGGTGCAGCCCCGCAGTCCCGGGGGCGGTGGTTCCGGGAGCTGCGCGGAGCCTCTGCGGTCAGCAGCGGCACCAGGCGGCCGATCTGCAGAAGGACGCGGATATTTCCTAGTGCAAAGACTGCAGAACAGAGAACATCAGCTGGTTTTCTGTCTATCCCTGCTCCGAGGTCAGGCTGTATAGATTTAATTGTCCATCTGACCCGTTCAAAGTACGGCCACCACTTGAACGAGCAGTCTTTGTTTGCCTTTTGTTTGAAAATGAGATGTATTTAAAGCAGATTTTCCTAATGACCCTCCCTACAACAGTTTGAATTGTTAATTCAGTCAATTACTTTTAGCCTTTTCAGCCAAAAATCCGCTGTGTTACAGGTATCCAGCATCCGGGGTGAACTAGTCCATGAACCACAGCAGCGATGATCACGTAGGTCCCTGTAGTTATTTGAGTCCCCGTAGTAATTCTTGAATGAGTTTCTGGAATGAACCAAAGTTCTCCCCTTAGATCCACAACCTCTCAGTCTGGGAACCCTTGCAAAAAGGCTGGGAGCAGCATCTCTTGGACCTGAGCTTAGTTCAGAATATCTCCCTCCACCTCGTTCTGGCTTCTGAGACCAGCCTACTTCCAGGTTTTTCTGATTTCCTCTGAAGAAAATCCACTGCAAGTGCACGGCTTCGTGCCTGAAATCCTACTCTTGGGGTGGTTATTTCCTCGGTGATGACTGTGACAAGCACTCTTCAGGACAGCACACTCACTCGAGGGAGTTTCAAGTAGGTTTTATTGTATTTTGTCATCAGACATTTTGCTATTAAAACTGTGCGTGACAGGAAATACCACATTACTTTAGAGATCATTACCAATTAATGTAAAGAAAATTTATTGTATTTTGTCATCAGACATTTTGCTATTAAAACTGTGCGTGACAGGAAATACCACATTACTTTACATTAATTGGTAATGATCTCTAAAGAAAACAAAGCTTCTCAATGCCCTATATTCTACAGTGCCTTAAATTAATTGTAAGAATTTCAGCCTAATTTACTGCAAACCCACAAACAGTATTTTCAATTCTCCACAACTTTATACTAAAAAATCCTGAAAAATTTATGTTACAAAGAGAAAACAACAACAACAAATCATTGCTTAAAAAGCCCACTCTTTATAGTATGGAGAGCCTGTAAAATCCCAGTCAAAGATGCCAATATTGGCATATGTGCCCAGTGTGCCAATGCCAGCTGTTTCTAATATAATCAGCTTCTGTGAATTATTAAGAAATTCCCCTGCAAGCACCACTTAATTTTGGTTAATATCTGTTTGATCTGGTATTGAACAGACCACAGAAAATTAAGACATTGTCACAGAGCCCTCTCCATAAGAAAGAAAGAAAAAAAAAACCAAACCCACAACCGAACAAAACCACAGAAAATGGGATATAGAAGAAAGTTATCTTCAAGATCTACTTCTGAGTTTCAGTATTTCCCTTAAGACTCAGGAGCAGTAGCAATCTCACAATCATACATTAAGTCTCAGCCTAATTGACATGCAACACAGTCCTTCTCCTCAGTCCATATAACAGTTACAAAATACCTGCATGAATAAGGAACTGCTAAGGAGGAGAGTGGTTTTGCTTTCTCACACGGAGAAGATTGATAGCTCCCTGGTGCTTTTTTGATGGATGTTTGGTCCCTTCATTCTCTTTTCATTGTGAGGCCATCAGCCAGTGAGGACAGATATGCTTATCTTTCTCCTCACTTACTGATGGGTGAGCCAAGGATTTTGATCAGAATTGACATTTAGCTCCATCCCCCTGTTTGCAGTACAAGCTGCTTCTGCAGGTCTGGGACCCGAGTCTTCAGAGAGGGGAGCTCTGCCCTGTAAAGAACAGAGGGTAGAGGTTGTCATTTGGGCATTGAAGGTAAGCAGGCATCAACGAGAAATCTAGAGCACGCATAGACCACATGTGACACCATTCCCCTCTACCTAGAGCCAAAGAGCAGGTTGGACCAGGTGGTGGGTCCCTGATTTGAACAGGGAAAATCTAAAGCCAGAAACCATACTCCACTGTAACCACCACAAAGGCACTACTGCAAAACTTCTATGAGTCTGAGGGAGAAATTTCAGGTGGTAAGAGCCCACAATAAAATCGCTTTCTCACAAACAGCAAACGTGGTTTAATATTGGTGTATCAAGATGGGTCCTTGTCTTCCCTGAGGCTACCGCAACTGTAGTTCTGAGAACATGCAGTGAAGCGAGTCCAAGTCACCAGTGGTTACGAAATACAAAAATGTTAAGGGATGAAAATAATACGGTGTTTGTGGGTCTTCAGCCTCATATGCGTATTCTTGTGGTGCGCTAGATGGATCCCCAGAAACTAGTAACCCCATATTTAGAGGGGACTTGGACCCAATGAGAGACTGAGAAGGGGCTGTTTCAATGACTGCCTCTTGTCTCCCCATGCTCATTGCACAGCACATTGCACAGGGCATCTCAAACATGACTCAGTTTAAGTTCATGGCAGTACTGGGAAGAGAAGTGCTGGTACTGTCCAGAATTACCCAGCTGGGTCAGGAATGGAGTGGGACAGTGCCTTGTAAACCGCCTATATCAACATTTTTCTGGCCAATACCCTTCATCGAAACCACAAAACTGTAAGTGAATTTAATAGCCAAGGTTCCCACTTTCATTGCCTCCAGTAGCTTGTAACACATCTCAAGTTCAGCACTGCCATCATCCTTCACTAGGATGCACTTCACAGCATCCAGCACCAGCACCTAATTGCAGTGTAGAGAACACCATAAGTGATGTGACACCCTTTCCAACATTGTCCTCACAGTGCTGTTTGACTGTAGACAGGACCACTACATTCCCCTGCTATCACCTCTGGGAGGATGTGTCCCTTGAAAGTTGGGTCCCTTCAAGTATGTCCCTAGAGTGCATGTACAGGTCCCACTGTGTGGTTCACACATTGAAACCTTTCTCATAGTCCGGCTGTCCCCATTTGTAGTGACACTAAAGGCTTGACCTAATATGAATACTTAGAGTGTAGGGCTGGATGCAGAGGAGCATGGTTAGTCAGCATATGAGCCTCCTCTCAGGAGGCCCCTGCAAGAATCTCAGAGGTCCTTTCTATCCTCTCCTGCCACCCCAGTGTCTCTTTCACTAAGAGCTCTGCAACATCAACAGTTCTTACTGCCATGGGTGAGCACAGACACACACATACACCAATTCTGCTACCTCCCCGCTCCCTCCATCACCTCAGTCTGGGCAGATCTCTCACCTGTACAGTCCAGTTGCCTTCTTCCCCAAGGTTGGCTGCCTCTTGTGAGCACACTGAGTTCCTCTGTTCACTTGGGCCAGGAGGCAGCCCGGCCGGAAAGCAGGGGAAGAGGGGCCTAAGGAACCGAAACTCGCTGTCGACGGTCCCAGTGGAGAAGCAGACGTCATACACATAGCTGCGGGGCAGGGAGCCCACGGCGCTCTCTGGGGCAGCCTTTGGGAATGTAGGCAAGGTCTCCGCTTCTCGCCGCCTGGTCTGCCGCACCTTCACCACCACAGCAGCCACTGTAGTGGCCAAGAATAGCACGGACACACAAGCCAAGCAGACGATGAGGTACAGGGTCAACAGCTCATCAGGCTCAGTGGTCAGTGCCTCCTCCTTCACCCTCAAATGGGCATCAGAGAAGCCGTCCACCAGGATGACGCCAAGGGTGGCAGTGGCAGAGTGTGATGGTTGCCCACGGTCTCGCACCAGCACAATAAGCTTCTGCCTGGGAGCGTCACGCTCTGTCACAGCCCGCGCCGTGCGCACCTCACCGCTGTGCAGCACCACACGGAACAGCCCCGGCTCTGTTGCTTTGGCCAGCTCGTATGACAGCCATGCGTTTTGCCCTGCGTCCGCGTCCACCGCCACCACCTTGGCTACCAGGTAGTCTGCTCGTGCCCAGCGTGGCACCAGTTCACTCACTCCTGTGTTACTGTCAGAAGGTGGGTGCAGCACAATGGGCACATTGTCGTTCTCATCCCGTACCACCACACGTAGCACTGCCTGGGCACTGAGCGGTGGCATACCTCTGTCGGCTGCACGCACCTCCACCTCAAAGGCCATCTCCTCATAGTCCATCGGGCGGAGGATGTAAACTTCCCCATTTTCAGAATTGATCGATACATCAGGCTGCTCCTTACCCTCTTGCCGCACCAGAGCGTAGTTTATGCGGGCATTTTTTCCCGCATCAGCATCCGTGGCATTCACTTGGCCGATCCGGAACATAGGGCTATTGTTCTCCAGGACTGACATGGTGTAAACTTCCTGGGTAAACTTTGGGGGATTGTCATTCACATCTGATATCTGCACAATGATACTTTTCCAAGAGCTCAGCCGGACCGTGCCCCAGTCCACGGCTGTGATGGTGATGTTGTACTCTGCTGTCCTCTCTCTGTCCAGAGGCGTGTTTGTTCGCAGTTCGTAGTAATTATCAAATGTGGGGGTGAGACTGAAGGGCAAGGCCCCCTCGATGGTGCACTCTGTCCTGCCATTGTCCCCAGTGTCCTGGTCCCGCACACTGAAGAGAGCCACCACGGTCCGGGGCGGGGCATCCTCTGGAATAGAGGCGGTGAGGGAGGTGAGGGCTATCTCCGGGGCGTTGTCGTTCACATCTAGGACCTCCACCTGCACTTTGCAATGCGCAGACAGCCCCCCGCCGTCGGTGGCTTTCACCACCATCTCGTGGTTTTTCGTTTCCTCGAAGTCCAGGCTGCCTGCCAGCCGTATCTCCCCAGTGGCAGGATTCAGCTCAAAAAGCTGCCGGGACCGCTCCGATGTCTGAGTGAAGGAATACCGCACTTTACCGTAGGACCCTTCGTCGGGATCAGCAGCCATGACTCTGACCACTAGCTGCTCCAGGGGACTGTTTTCGGCCAGGCGCACCTCATAGACCTCCCGACCAAAGACTGGGGTGTTGTCATTGGCATCCACCACCACGATCCGGACCTGAGCCGTGCCAGACCTGGGTGGCAAGCCCCCGTCGGTGGCGGTGAGCAGTAAATTCATCTCTTGCTGCTCTTCACGGTCCAGCTGTCGCTCTAGGACAAGCTCCACATATTTTGCTCCACCTTTCCCTGTCTCGAGAGCGAGGGAGAAGTGAGAATTCGACCCGAGGCTGTAGTTCTGCAAACCGTTACTACCCACGTCCTTGTCCTGGGCGCTTTCCAGAGGGAAACGGGACCCAAGAGATGTCGTTTCCACAATCTCTAAAACCATTTCCTTCTCCGGAAACACAGGGGAGTTATCGTTCACGTCACGAACCTCCACCTCCCCTCGGATCAGCTGCAACGGATTTTCAAAAAATATCTTGAAAAAGAGCATGCAGGTATCACTCTGCGGACAGATCTTCTCTCGGTCCAGCGACTCCTTTACCGTCAGGACTCCGGTGTTTTGATTCAGGTGGAACAGCTGCCCGTTCCCCTCGGACACAACGCGGGCCTTGCGAGATGCGAGCTGGCTCGGAGCAACACCTACGTCCTTTGAAAGATTGGCCACAAAGGAATCCCTCTCCATTTCCTCCGCCAGAGCATAGCGGAGGGTTTCAGCCCCGCTCCGACCCACGCAAACACCCAGAATAAACAAGATAACTTGCCTCTTGGTGCCTCCGCTCAGTGTTCCACACGCCATCACTCTCCAAAAAAAACCCTCCACCGTACTCCGTGGCTGCCAGGATTTTTAAGCAGTGTCCGAAGCAGAGCGGTGTTTGTCAGGAAACCCGGGAGGAGAGTGTCTGAAAGATCTCCAGCACCTCGACTCCGTGCCCCTCCGCCCTTCCCGAGCAGCTCTCACACGGCTTTTTTTGTCTCCCCGGTGCCTGCAAAGCCGCTGTGGGCGGAGAGACCTGCCGGTCCGTGGCCAACACTCCCACCCAGCGTCGCAAGGGGGAATATTTCCTCTGCCTTCTCATTCGGGGCAGCGCTGCTGTTCTGGAGTTTGCTGCTTGATCTGCGCTCTTGGTGCCAAATCGGAAGTAAAAAGTGCAAAGTAAATGCTCGCCTCGCTGGGAAGCAGGCTTCCCGTCCGCATACAGAGCGCTGATCTGGGTCTCGCTTCCCAGATGACAACTGCCAACTCTTCACACACAGCTTTTGGTTTTCCTCGGTGTTGCGAAGGCATTGCAAAACCTGCCATCTGCACAGGCTGCATTGCGGGAGTTTCCTTCTCTTCTTCTCTTGTTAATCACCACAGGACAGTTAGCATGTGGGTGGGCCCGAGAAGCACCGCTATTGAATATGAGAGCTGGTGTTACGGAAAGGGAAACGCTTCACCATCACACTGAAAAGATAATGCTGTTCTGAGACACATCATCCCAAAATTGCTTCCTTCACAGGGCGTAGCACATCCTTTCCAAAGGACACACAACTTTAATGCTTTTTTTTTTTCTGGTGAGTGTGTGTGAAAAGCGTTTTTCTCCTTAATTTACAAAAGGATCGCCATCTGCCGCCTGCTGACCCTTGTGTCCATGATGGTATATCACTGCATCACAGTCATGAAAAATATCCACAGCCATCGAACAATAGAAACGCTGCAAGCTGTTTTCATGTTTTGCCGGGAGACAAGTACTTTCTCCCCTACTTTTACTACACATGCTTAGTAATGCTTTAAGGGTCCCTGTACTCAGATGTCAAACCTGAACTCCTGTACCTACAACAACAGCTATTTAACACAAAAAGCAAGGAAACAAACAGGGGAGTTCGTAAATTAAATGCGCAGATACACAAACAGTTAATGAGCAGGAGCTAACGGAGACAACAGCAAAGATCGGACATCTAACAGCAGTGATCGACGAGCCATTAAAGGAACCTTGCAAATGTAAACTCCAAAAGTCTCAAAAAAACTTTTGTAAACAATAAGGGTGAAAAAAAGTCAGTCTCACATGAAAGAGCAAACTGATCACGAGGTGTTTGGTCGACTTCTAGGAATATGCAAAGTATATTATGGGATGATTAGAAGCAGAATCAAACTCGGTAGAAGAGGAAGGTAAGAAGTGGATCTGGGAGAAACGACCGTAGGGAAACGGAGGCGGGAAGGGGAAAGGAGGGATCCCGAGTACGACCTCGTAGTGCGAGCCAGGATCCGTTCCGCGGATCCAGCAGCGAGCTCCGGGAATGAACCGATATTGCGCACAGCTGGCTCAGGACCAGCCTTCCTCTTAGAGCCCAAAAAGCAAAAACAGAAGAGAAAAAAAATACAGCTTGCCGTACTTACTTTTGTGCTAAAGGTTTAATCAGCTTTTACCTTAAAAGGAACCATGCTATTTTTTTATATGCAATGTAATCTAGCCTCCTTCATTATGATACCTTTCCTATAAGTTCCTAAATGCTTTTCCCTTAGTTTTGTTTGTTAAAAGAGATGACACTCTTAAACAATACTCACCAAATGAGGTCCTCGAAATTCGTTGGCACATTCATTTGTTTTACAATAAAAATCTCGTGACTGTATCAGTAGGAGAAACGAACAACTCGGGTTGTTTTTAGGATTCTCCGGAATTCTAGCTACCAGAGGACTTTGCACACATGCATTCATTTTTGGTTATTTCCTCTTACCATCCTTTGGCTTGGAAGCATGACAGAATCTAAAAGACTAACTAAAATCAAAGGCCAGGCCAGGTCTTTCTTCCTTTCTTCTCTTCCAGGGATGTGTCCATCTCTCGAATTTCTTATCACCAACACAGTAACTTGATGTAAAACCAGCTATAGGCCAAGTACAGCCATAGATGTATTGGCAATGTGGCTTCTCTCCTCATTCGTGCCGTGCAAAAATGATATGTGAAATCCACTTGCTTTGTGCCCTTGCCAGTGCTTCTGCTGAGCTCTTGGCACCTTCAAGAGAGGAAGGTGCAGTTGTTTCTTCATAACCTCATCCTTGACACCATTACGCAGCAGGGAATTGCTCACAGACGCCTGACTGCAGTAACCCGGTAACAGTTCCTACCTCATTTCAGAAGGGAAATGGTGTCCCACAGCTTTAGGTGTAGAAGAGTGCAAGAGGAACAGTGATCCTTAATGAAGCTCTTGGCTGTTATAGTATCTTTGCACATCAGAAGAATAGACTGAAGCTCATATTTTTTCAGATTTGAGAGAAATACGAAATAAAGAGGGTCATTTACCATGAGCCACTGGATAGCAAATGCTGGTATTTTCTGTTGGATCACAATAAAATTGGTGTGTATAAATGGAGAAAAGAGCAAGTATGTATACTGCCAGATAAAGGCATACTGTGTTTAAGGAGCGATAGCCATAATAATGCAATTTGAATGAATGTGTCAGAAAATTAATTTATCTCCTTGAGCATATAGTGATGTTGCAGGCTTCCTCGTTTTTTAATTTAGTGATGACGTCTTTACATTAAGAAGGTAGCTTGAACGAAAATTTGTTCTCCTCTTTACTCCGAGATTTACATCTCAACAATAGAAAAAAGCTACAGCAACATATTCTGCTCAGTTTCTGGTATGCCTCCGTATTTCAGAACAGCGTTCCTAAAAGAAGATTCTGCCTGCACTTTCACGGCCGGAGCAACTCCAATTTCCAAAATCTTCTTCTTGGTCTTCCAGCTGGGAATTTAAATAGCCGATTGAAATCTCAGATGTTCCATATTGGGTTTTGTTGCCCGTCTGGATAAAAGCTTCTTCCCCACCCCTGGAGCCACTGCTCATCCACCTCTGGCACACCCTGAAGATGGTGTGGCTTGGAAGGAGCTGTTGCCTGAAGATCAAGAGCACAAATGCTTCCCTGAATCACTGTGCTTTCCATGCCCGTGTGCAAAAAGAGAGCAACGTTCCCATTCTCTCACTCCCTGTCAGATCCTAGGACGGATTTAATCTTCTTTCATCTCTAGCACTCAGACAGCGCCTGAATTCTCCCGGGGAACTGCTGCCCTGAGCTCTCAGCTGGATGCAAACGTGAGGAAAGCCAGGAGAATTATTCACAGCCTTCTGGCTCTCCATTATACTGTAGATATCACTGGCATTTATGTCATGTTTGTTTTTCGTTTTCCAAGAGATAAACCGGTCTCCTCTGTCTGTATTCACTCCAGTTAGTGCTTTCTCCATCACTCTGTTAAATGCAAACATTTCTTTCTCGCGGTGTTAAGACAGTGCTTACCAAGCAAAGGCTCTGCCTGAGTCACCTCAGATCTGCGGCGAAATCCTCTCAAATCCCCCAGGGATGCACCTGGGACGCTGTCTCCCTCCTTCACATTCTCTGCTCTTGGCGTTTCCAAACAGTTCTCGATGCCGCATTTCCCAGCACATCCCTTGGAAAGGCTTTGAAACAAGGCGTATTCCAGTGCAATCAGGACGTTGCGGTTGGGCTTCCAGCTAGTGTCAGCCATGCAGCATCTGACTGGTGCTCACTGGCATCTCCCCGCCCAGCAGCAGCACGACACGCACAGCGTTGGCCAACAGCGGCACTGGGCGTCCAGCGCAGGAACTGCACATGGGCATCCACCCCAGAGTCGGAGCAGGCATCTCCTCCGTTGGGTCCTAGTTACTGTTAGTGGAAATTCCGAAGCACGTTTTCCAGCTGAAGACTTTGTCAAATAAACACACTTTCTTAATACTTATTGAGACATTTGTTTTGGCACTGATAATCCAGGCCAGTATGAAGCGTGTAGAAGGCGTCCTACATAGTCCTTCAGTCAAAAGTGCTTGACAAAGATGCAAGCTATGAGCAAACCTTAGCAAGTATTGCTCAGGTATGGTGGCCTACATCTTCCAGAAGTCAGAGAGACAATCGAGGTGTTTTCCAGCATGAGCTGGTTGCAGGAGGCTCAGACTTGGAATATTTTCTATTTCACAAGGAGAACTCTGACTATTGTATGTCCTTTCCTGGAGTAATGTGAAGTCAAGAACTAATTCAGCAGTAATAGCAGCACAAACCTACACCGCCTCTTGGATCAGCTGCAACAGATTTCCAAATATCTTCAAGAAGAGAATGCAGGTATCACACTGCAGACTGATCTCAGATCTCTTGGTCCAACAACTCCTTTACTGTCAGGACTCTGGTGTTTTAGTTGAGGCAGAAATTCTCCTCTGACACAACGGGGGCCCCATTTCTTCCTAGGTAGCAGTACCTTCCTTCTACTAACATCATTTTGTGAGCCTGACTGCTCTAAAATCTCCCTTGTACACCTTTCAACTTTAAAGTATAAAGAGAAATACGCATCTTGAAAAGTCTGAGCTCATATAGCTTCTAAAAGACATTCTGCACTCTTCAGTCTCCAAAGACAATGCTGGAGATAAGACACCTGTGAGATGTCTACTCAGACCTTTTCCATTCTACATCTTTTGTAGGTAACAAATTCTCTCTTCTCTCTACCCA